CAAGAATTACGGCATGTCTAAAGTTGTTGAGCCATAGCTCTCAGAGAGATAGAGAACAAGAGTGTCCTGGATTCTGTCTGCTGTCCCAAGCTAACCTCACATTAACCTTAAAGCATGCCTATTCTTCACTTTCCAGTCTGCTAACAATAGGCCTGTGTCTTAAAGTTGTCACTGGGCACACTACCCTTTCTGTCTGGTTGCAGTTTTGCTCCTACTGCCTTTGGGACTTTACGCTGCCATGGCAATGGCTCTGCCTTTGTCTTTTAGTTTGGGAATATGATTCTAACCAGTGAAAAACTAACTCTAATTCTTACCTTTTGCTTCAAACCTCTGGGGACAGAGAGATTTGGGAAGAGGAGACTAGAGAGATAATGGCTGGAAGGATAAGCTGGCAGGAATATCCGAAATGTAGAAGGATAGGAATGGAGGGAAGGCCTGATGGAGATGCCATATGCCTTTGATCCCAGCACTCAGGAGGCAGAGGCAGGCAGATCTCTGTAAGTTCGAGACCAGCCTGGTCTATAAGAGCGAGTTCCAGGACAGCCTCCAAAAGCCTCAAAGAAACCCTGTTTCAAAAAACCAAAAATAAATAAAAAGTAGGAAAAACAAGTGTGTAGGAAAATGAAGAAAAAGAATAAGCATGGAGAAGTTAGAAGCAGGATAGGATTACTGAAGTAGAAACAGAACAATCAAGAGCACATGAACAGGAAAACTGTGGTGTGAGAATTGTTTGCTATAGCCCTCACACTTAGATCTTACACTTATTTGTGTCACCTCTTTTTGAACCCTGAATGAAGGCTTTTGAGTCAAGGACCTTGAAGGTTTTTGATAGTCAGGGCCCTTGTGTGCATTTCCACTCCCAATTATAAGGATCTTTTTGATGACACTGAGATATGGCAACTACAGAGAAAATTAGGAGTGTTTCCAAATGAATCTAAACCTATTCCTTTAATAATGTGTCTACCCTACATCCACACCTCTGTTAAAGAAGAATGTAATTTGGCCTTATAAGTCAGGAGGTACAAACCTGTCACCACGGTACCCAGGATTCTGAGCAGGATTATCAGGAGTTGTTGGTCAACCTAGGCTACACAGCAAGACCCTGTCTCAGAAAAATAAAGGGGAGAGGGATACTATGACTTGTGGTCATCTTGAGTCAACCTGAAGGACATTGTGCTAAGAAAAATAACCCTTAAAAGAGAGAGAAATACTGCATATGTGGAGCCTAAAACAGTCTCCATTAGTGATAATAGCAGGATGGAGAGACGTTTCTAGTATGTAGACTAGGCAGTATGTAGGAGGAAGAGGGCAGAGACCGAACACACAAAATGAAGATCAAAGTGCATCATGGAGAATTAGTGCTGCTCTCACCTTAGGGAGAAATGGTCATTCAGAAGCTAGACGTGCTGACTAATCCCAGTATCAGGATATTTATATGGCCCTAAATCAGGACACCACAGCACATGGTTCAAATATACAAAGTAGTTTATTGTAATAAAACAGTCCATGTATTCAGATTTATTTGTGCCAAATGTATTTTTCCCAGGTGCTTGTGACGTTCTTGGGAATACTTCTGCAGTAATCTTATGTCCAGCTCTCTGAGCATGTCCTCGGTGACTGTCCTTCACCTGGATATGCAATGCATAAAACCAGTCACTCAGCTTTCAACATCTAGGACTTTTTCTTAGGGGCTGCCTTCATGGTTCAGTTCTCTAGGTATTGGTTAATGCCACTCTGTAAAAGGGGACCCAATACAAAACAAACAAACAAAACAAAACAAAAACCAAAATGACTGTCAGTGTTCTGTATGCCTGTCCCTTGCAGCTGGCAGTCTGATGGGAAAGTGGTGTCCCTGCCTCGGTGATGAAGGGAACAGTAACAACAGCTGATGGACAGGACTTGAGCAGCATCTAACCCTCACATGGCTCCTGCCAGGACAGAGAGGCTTCACCCTCAGTAAGGAGTCTCCAAATTGCCTCAGTCACTGTTCCCACACAACAAGGGGTTAGTAAAAGGCCTGTGTGCTACCTGCATCAGCAGATATTTTCTCCTGCTCCTCTCAGCCCATCTACTTGTAAGTCTCTGGCTCTGGTCCAACTTGTCTGTCAATCAGAAGGAGCCTCTTTCATCTAGGAGACATGAAAACAAGGTGTTTTGGTAAAATGACCAAGTGTCCACTTGTCCATCACCCTGTAACCAATCGGGCCTTCCCCATGGCCTGAGCAAGGGAGCATCACCTTTTTGTCCCTCTTCCATGCAGTGTGTTACAGCTTGAGTGGCATCTCCTGCCCTAAGCTCTGGTGCAGGTGAAGCTGGACTCAGGCTTTGTCCCTTGATGAGTGTAGTCCCAGGAGTCTCTTTGGTAGCCCCAGCATAGGGTCATGCAGGTAGCAAGGGATCAGTCTTTCCCAGTCTGTTGCCTATGGACACAAAGCTTCCACAACAGTAATGTCCCTACAGAGTGTCAGAAAGAAAACAGCTTGGATCTTTGTATGAGCTACTGTTGAAAATAGTATCTTGGGGGTGTTACAGAGAGTGGTCTAAGAAGAGGTATGAATCTGAACCCTTAAATCATTTTAAATGTCTCTGAGTTTTTTTTTTTGTTTGTTTGTTTGTTTTTTAGGAGGTAGGAATGTGGCAGAAGACCATGAGCCACCCTAAGGAACACCCTCACTGCCAGACTGGGGTTGGGGAGGGGTATCCATTGTTTTCCCATCAACAGATTCTTATCCATGATCAGGCTTGGGACCAGCTCCATCTCTGAATTCAACTGTCAAATGCACCAGACTTCACCTTGCTTCCACTCAGAGCACAGCCGGTGGGCCTCACCTTGCACACAACTGGATGCCCTGGGGCAAAGTGCACACCATGGCATGTACTGGCTTCACATGGTTCCTGTGAAGCAGTAGAGCAGGGTGGTAAGTGTTTGGGGTGTGGGTGGGGGCAGGAACAGGCTGAGTTAGAGGAATTTCGAGGCATTTCTGTGAGGGGAAATCACATGAAGTATGAAATTATCTTGTCTGGAATGGGAGTCCTCTCCAGTACAAGCAAAATTCGCTACTGTCAACTATGTACAAGGTGCATTGGGAGAAGTGTGTGTGTGTGCGTGCGTGCGTGCGTGCGTGCGTGCGTGCGTGCGTGCGTGCGTGTGTGTGTGTGTGTGTGTGTGTGTGTGGTGTCCCTGTCTGTCCAGATACACAGTACAGAAGAATGCATTCATACGACTCAGGTTGCAAAGCAACAAGCACCAATAATAGTGCTGGGGTGAGTTGTGAAGGTGTCTGGATCTTGGTGAGGGTAGGAAGCAAGCTATCTAGTAAGCCAGGATGGTGCTGAGAACTGCACCATAACCAATGGACTCACCTGTTTCCATACATTCTACCTTCCCAAATGGGCACAAGATGGACACTCCCTGCAATCTCATTCCTTAGTTTCTGGCTCCCACCTAGTCAGCAATACTCATCTTGAACACATTCAAACTGGTCAGGCTGTTTGGTCTGGGGTCCTCCTCTGCTTCTAGTGCCACCGTCTCTTCCAATGGCTCACAGGTCCACCTGGAGACAGGTAGCTGGGCTGACATCTTACTGTGCATGGAAGGTCCTCTGACGCCTGTGTTCCTAATGGTCGCCAGCACTCCATGGAACCCTGTTTACAGGATTTCTAAGTCCCACAGAGCGCTTCACTTTGCTAGCACAACTGTAGCACCGCCAGCCATCATGAACCTACCTGGAGGGGAAAGTGGAGAGGATCATGAGCTCAGACCTGCCTCCCAGAATCCTTTCCCAGTCTCATGGTCACATGTAGCATGAATAATAAAAGTCCAGTGACAGATATGGGGGTTCAAGCTGAACATCAGAGAAGCAAAGCTGCCAAGCAGCCAGAGAGCTCTCGCGTCTACCAAGGCTGGGAGATCCTGACCTCACAGTGGCTGGAGACTAGTTACCCTGAGACTGACTGCTGAATGCCCTGCTCCTATCTTACATACCTCTCTAGTGCTGGGATTGAAGGCATGAGTCTGTTTCTTTTTTTGGACTGATTTTCTCTCTTGTAGCCCTAGATGGCTTTGAACTCAGAGATCCATCTGCCTGTCTCCTGAGTCCTGGAATTAAAGGTGTGTGCCACCACCCAGTTTCTATGGCTCTGGCTAGCTTAGCTTTTCTAATCCCCAGGCAAGCTTTATTAAATCATAAACAATACGTCACTACAGTCCTAGGTGATCTGAAAAGGGGGTGACATGCCCCTCCTCCCCAGTCTTCATCTGCAGACACAGGAATGCTTTGCCCCTAGTCTCAGCCTGTGATGTGGACACAGCTTCCCACTGACACAGCCATCTGAACCTCCTACCTGGCTCTCTTCTGCACCTCTCTGCATCCTCAGCACACTGCTCCCCACTCTCTAGTATCAGCCTTAGGGGAACACAGTGCCTCCAGCAGCACTCGAAGCAGACACAAGAAAGGGGCCTCTTAGGAGAAATACTCAGGACTTCTGCTTGGCTGTGCTGGCCCTGTGCTGGGATGCGCCCTTGGTCTGATTCCTCCTGAGTGCCCTGCCCCATTGCTCTCTGCACGAACCCTCCTCCCGCATGCTTGCCCGGCCTTGGGCCCCTAGCTTCTGCTGTCTGTCTACATCTAGGTCAAGTTTCTTAGGAAGGTGCCGCACCATGGGATTTGCTTCCTGGTGTGATAATATCCCTAACCCTTAAAAAACGGGTGTTTATGATTTGTTTATTTAAAAGCATATTATTTAGTCCAGGAAAGGCTTAGTGAGTAAAGGCACTTGACACCAAGCCTGGGGACCTTAATCCATTCCGCGGGACCTACACATGGTATAAAGACAGAACTGGCTCCTGCAAGTTAACTTCCACACACATACAGTAAATAAACATTTTTTCCATAAAGAAAAGGACTTTGTTTAAAAAAGGGGGGGGGGGCTGGGTGCAGAAGTGCATTTTGGGTAGCCTCTCCACCTACCTGTTACCAGCACTGGCCTCCAAGGCCCTTTTAGCTCACAGCCAGGATCTTATTGTTGGCTAGGCGCTCCCTATTTTCAGTTGACAGGCAGCAACATAAACGTCTCAATCTTTTTGTACTCCTGTTCTTTAGGCTTTTCCAAACTCGCTTTTTAAAGGGGGCTCTGGGTGCAGTCTGGCACCGGCCACTAAGATGTCCCCGGGATGTTTCTGGAAAGGATGAGCTGAGGTCTTTTTCTTGTACAGTGGGACCATCACCCTGGGCCTCCTTGCTGGATACTGGAGGTAAACCATCCTGTGATGTCATGTTGTTCTTTGAACCAGCTGTAGTCACTCTGTGGGGCCGTCCCCTGAGGTCCTCCTGAGGTAAGGTTTGTGGGAGAGATGAGCTGATATTTTTACCTAGTGTGTTGGTGTCCTTAAACTGGGCTTCCTCCACAGAGATGTGATGAGGTAAAGCAACACATGAGGTTATGTTGTTCTTTGAACCAGCTGTAGTCATTCTGTGGGGCCGTCCCCTGAGGTCCTCCTGAGGTAAGGTTTGTGGGAGAGATGAGCTGATATTTTCATTTGTTATGTTGGTGTACTTACACTGGGCTTCTGCCACAGAGGCGTGATGAGATAAAATATTTGGAGAGGATGCCTTGTACTTTGAATTGTTAGAGCCAGCTTTGGACACATCCAGGGATGAATCAGATTCCAGTGGTGTACACTCTGAAGACAGTTGGGTACATATTTCATCTGAGGTGTTATTGCTCTCTGTATCCCCCCAAGTGCTGCTCATGAAGTGAGCCTCCTGGACATCCTGGGGACAGGTTCTGTGAACAGGGGCCATCTTCTTGTTTGGGTAATTCATGGTGGGAGGCATGCTGTTCCTTGTTCTACACTTTTTGTCATTCTTAGAACTCTCAGGTAGAGTGGGCAAAATGAAGGTTGGAAGGGTAGGGACACTAGATCCTCTCTTTATAATCGTCACTTTTGGCATTGTGGGAGGCTCTGCAGAGTTCAAGGTTCGATCTGACTGCCTGGGCTTCAGTTTTTTTATGAAGTTGTCCCCCCAGGGTGACTGTTGCCTAAGAATCAAATAGGTAGCCATCACCTGATCAAACGTCTTCTCCTGTAAAGCTTTCTTTATCTCTCGTTGCCTGTATCCCATCACACCCATGATGACCATTACCGTGGGGTCTGGGTGGTGGCTGGCATTCTCTCTAAAGGAACTGGGAGAACCTTCATTGACATGCTTCAGCCATTGAAAGCTCAAAATGTCACCTATTCTTGGTCTTTGTCTAGGGTTTATAGTCAACAACTTAGCAATCATGTCCCAAAGCTCTGGTGACAGCTTGAATTTAACAGAGTACTTTCCTGCCAAGATCTTCTGCCTTAGTCCTTCATAGGTATGTCCCTGGAAAGGGAGGCACCCTGTTGACATAAAGTAGAGTACAACTCCCAAGCTCCAGACATCAATTGCAAGGCCATCATAGCCTTTACCTTCAAAGAGCTCTGGGGCGCAATAAGGTAAGGTCCCACAGAAAGCTGCTAGCTTTTGTCCCATGATAAGCTTGGCCCCCAGCCCGAAATCACTAAGTTTTATATTTCCTTTGCCATCCACTAAAATATTTTCAGGCTTCAGGTCCCTGTGGGCAATCCCTTTCCTGTGACAATACTGGAGGGCACATACCATCTGTTTAAACAGCCTACAGGACTCCTCCTCCGGTAGGTAGCCAAACTTCACAATCCTGCCCATTAGCTCTCCCCCTGTGGCATGTTCCATGACCATGTAAGTATTATTTGTGGTGTCAATTATATGTAAAAGCTTAATAATGTTGGGGTGATCTAGAGCTTTCATTATTTCAAGTTCTGATTTGATGAAGGTGTTCTTTTTGCCTTTTGGAAGAATTTTTACTGCTACCCTTGTCTGCGTGAGTAGATGGCTAGCCAATTTTACTTCCCCGAATCCTCCTTGGCCAAGGGTTGTTAGGATTTTATAATGTTCTGTTAAAGCCTCTTCATCAAAGGGTTTGTACTTTTTGTCTTGTGCCTCTTCCCACCTCTTCATCTTTGCTGATGTAAATGCTCGGTATAAATGCCAACTAGTGACGTAAGATAAAAATTAATTAAAAGCGGATCTAGGAGGAACATTTGTAGCTATAAATTCCTGAAGTTAAAAAGAACAAACAAAAAACATAGATGTTCCAAATAACCTAATTGTGCATGTCAAGGTCATAGGAAAACAAGAACAAGCCAAACTCAAAAGAAACAGAAGAATCGTTCACATTCAGAGCAGAAACTGATGAAATGAAAACTAAAATACAAAAACCATTGTAACCAAGACTTGATTATTTTAAGGGCAAATATAACAGATGCAATCTTAACCAAAATAACTAATACAAAAATTTAAGATACAAGTTAATAATATTAGAGACAAATAAGGTAGTTTTATCAGGGATACAACTGAAATCCAGACATCCAGACAATCACTAGGGAATGTTTTTAAACTATTCCAGTGAAATGGAAAATCTAGAATAGATAAACTTCTAGACACACATTAGCTACCAAAACTCAACTAAGAAGATATATAAAATGCCTAAACTGAAAGATTTTAAGAGCCAGAGGCAGTGGGTGACAACACAGAAACAGTGTTTCGGACAAAGCAGGGCAGTCTCCTGTCTGCACTCACAGCATTATGATCTGATTAAGCTCACTCCAGACAAAAATCTCAGCATGAAAAGGGGATGTGGGACAAGTAGTCACACTTCTGATGAGCTGTTGACAACTGGTAGTTCTCAGGAGAGGGAGAACACACTTTAAGGGTGTGGCTGCTGGTAGGTTGGACATACCATTCTCCAGTGGGACACCATATATCCAAGAGCATAAAGACAACAGAAACTGTACTTCAAGGCCAAAACAAAAACAAAATAAAACAAAAAGACAAATATGGGTGGTAGGGAAGGGAGTATGGAGAATCTGAAGGGGTTGGAGTAAGGGATAAATATGACTGAAATATATTGTATGAAATTCTCAAAGAACTAATTTAAAATAATCTCTTGACATCTACAAAAAGCCCAGGAACAGACAAACTCAGTGGTGATTTCTATCAGACCTTTAAAGAACTGACACCAATGATTCTCAGACTGTTTCCTGAAATAAAACTGGGAAGGATGCTTTCAGGCTCATCCTATGAGCCTGTATTACTCAGGTACCCAAATCAGGGGGATACAGTAATGAGAGAAAGGCATGATCAGCATCCTTGGTGAGCACAGACACAACAGTTCTTAGTAAGAATACTTAACACTTCACCCAAAAGTCAACAGCACTAAGAGGAACCATACTTCATGATCAAGATGGGTTCACCCAGTCATGCAAGGGCTGCAAGCAACCTATGCCAACTGATTAACAATGTGCAGAAACAGAAGGGCCAGAATCGCACACTCGTCTGGGAAGAGTGAAACTGTCATTCTCCAGGGGAAAGATGCATGAAACTGGAAATCACAGTGTTGTGTATAAGAAGCCAGAGTCACAAAGACATTTGCTTTCAAATCCTGAATCACAGGTCAAGGACAGAACCTGATAGTAAAAGGGAATGATTAGAGATGTGAAGGGGAGAGAGGAGGAGGAAAGTGTATTAGAGTAAGTGAATATTATCAAAGAATATTATATTATGTATATATACAGAAGTGCCACAGTGAATTTTTTTTACTTCTTATGCTTAATATTTACTAGCAGAAACTTAAAACAAAAGCAAAAATAAAAACCTAAAGAAAATTTGTTAAAAAGTTGAAAAATTGAGGATAGTTAAAAATTTAAATATGTAAAAATTAAAATCTAAAACCAGAAACATAAATTACAAAAAGTAAAATGAAAAACTAAAATCCATAGCCCCAAAACACATCCTGCAAAGTGAAAGACTCACTGTCAAGTACAACAGGTCACCAGCATCCAAGTCCAAAACTTCACCAATATCAGGCTCCAAAACTTTCACCAACATCCACGTCCCACAGATCACCACCAAACAGCTCTCCCTGCACTAGAAGGACAAAAATCAGCCCTAGATAGTGTGTTATATGCACAGGTGTCAGTCATTCCTCATAGTGGCACCTTGTGAGGTCAGAGCAAGACATGGGCCAATGAGGGATGGGCATACTCCTGCCCAAAAGCTACTCTGCAGTCACTGCTACCAAGTGCCTGACAGGAAGCAACATAAGGAAGGGTTCGTTTTGGCTCATATGCTGAGGGAACAGGGAAAGCGTGGTGGCAGGGATGGTTGGTGTCAGCCTGTGGCACCCTACCGCTAACACCAGGCCAACAAACCGCATCCAGGAGCTAGAACCCACCTCCTAAAACTAAGACACCAACTTCCCAAGACAGTTATCACCTGCTGGAGACCACAAGTTCAAACACAAGAGTCTACAGAGGACATTTCATATGCAAACCATAGCAAGGACCCACTCCACTTTAATAATAATAACAGAAAAGGCAACAGTGATAATATAGGGCCCCAAAGCTCTATGGTTTCCTGGGTATAGACTCTGATGTCTACCAGTAAAAAAGTGAACCCAGAGGATGTTCTAATGGCCCTTGTGAGTGGAACCAAAAATGTGGTAACGTCTGGCTGTTACAGAGCTCAACAGACCTACATTTATTCATTCCTCTCTTTAAAGTTGGGTTGGTGTAGAAAGTAAGGTAGCCCTTTACTGGCTTGTGCTACTGTAACAAAATGTTCTGTTTCCCAAGACACACCAGGACAAGTTACTAATGTCTGTGGGACCAAGAAGAAGAGTTTGATAGCAGCTTCCCTCAAGAGACTCTCAGATTTCTCATCTGACCTAGAATCCCAGAGGACAATAGGCAGACAGCTTCAAGATGGTCAAGAAAGAAAAACATCAGCCTAGAACCCTACAGGCAGCTGTAACGAGTGTATGGTTTTTCTGCCCTCCGCCGCTGGTCTGGTCCCGCCCCCACGCCGCCAGCCCCAAATAATACACAGAGACTCTGTATTTGATACAATGCTGTTGGCCCGGTTACTTGTTTCTTATCAGCTAGCTCTATCTTAATTATTAACCCATTTCTGCTGATCTATGTATTTCTCTTACCGGGGAGCCGGCGGCATACTGCTTTCTTCAGACTCTCCATCTTGACCCCTCCTTACTACTTCCCTATTTCCTCCTTGTCTCCTAGTCCCTCCTATCTTCCTTTCCTATTGGCCAACAGTGCTTTATTATTAACCAGTATGAGAAACATACAGAATGACCTCTCCCATCATCTCCTCTTTTCTGTCTAAATAAAAAGAAGGGTTTTAACCTTAACATAGCAAAATATATTATACAACAGTTATCAAGTAAGACTCACAGTTAACAATATTTAGTCCATTAACATTTAGCAAGATTTGAAGAAAACATTTCATCTTCTCTTCTATCTTTGTGTGTCTAAAGTCTAAGTAACAAATCTTTAATCCTAACTAATGAAAACTATAACCATAACTACCTGTCTTCAACTCCTTCAAAGACCACAGAAGGATAATATATAAACTCTAGAAATGACAGAGACAACTCACTGCCTGGTCACCCGAAGTTCTTTTGTAATCTTCCATCTTCAGCCCATAGGTGTAGTGAGGTAGTCCTTCTGTAGCACTGACCACGCCCATTGGGGGGTGGAGCGATGGGCGGAGGTGACCTGAGGAAGGAGGTCGGAGGGGGCCAGGAAGGCGCTCTCTTTCTGGCGTGACTCGGACAGGAGAGGATCGGGTTAAATTTCCTGGTGTTCATCTGTCTAGGTTGTAAGTTATTTCTCCCTGAATAAACATCTATTCGGCCTATTTGTTTATCCTGACCCTTATTTACCGCAATACATAGGCCATAGTGTGTCTAGCTGACTCTTCAGCAACGCAGGAAACTTTAAACTGTCTTTTTGTATTGGCAGTTTGACAGTCACTTTTCTCTGTGTCCTGCATACTGTCTCGCAGACTCTTCCATGAAGCAGGAACTCTGTAGCAATGTCCATCTTGAATCAGCAGTCACTTTTCTGTGGGCCCTGCATGTCCAGTTTATACAGCATAAAGTCAAACAGTCCAGACAAGAGCAGTATCTTGTCCAAATGGCTAGTCTTGCCATATTGGAAGCAAACTTCATAATGCATTTCTTCGATGTCCATCTTCCTTTCTGGTGCAGGTGGTATTGCCAAGAGCAATTATGTCTCACTGTCACAAAAACCCTAAACCACTTTAAATGCCATATCCTGTAGGTCTTTGAAAGGTTTGAAGAATGTCTATTTATCTCAAATACATCTCTGTGTATCTTGAAAACCTAACTAACTAAACTCTAAGCTTTGACTATCATAGGTAATTATCTATAATATGTACTACATTATACATTACATTTCTAAATGAGCTATACAAACAAGAGGAGAAATATACATATGACAAAATTGACCTTAAATTGTATCAATAAATGAAAATCCATTCCAAAACAAACTATGCATATCTATACCATAATTCCCTTTTTACCTTTAAAAAGAATATTGGTTGGGATCATTACCCATTTATAACCAAGTCCATTTAAATGAAACCAAACATTTATAAACAATATTTGGGAATTTGGGCGTCGTTCTTTCTAAACTACTTCCTGCTGACAGGGGGCGCTGTCATGGGGGATCATGAGAAGACACAGAAATCTTGGCTGTAGTCTGCAAGGCTGCTTTGTTCAGCTATTTTGAATGTAGGATCACCTGGTCCTGTTTCAGGGGGTCTGGCTTGATCAAACCACACAAGTCTGGAAGGAATCCACAGCTTTTTATTTTCTGTGGAAACAAAAATAGAAATCCTTTTCCCCAGTAACTTGTCCTTAAACTTAAATGTTGGAGTCAAAGCATTTTTAAAATATATAAATTTAATTAATCCAGCAGCATTTCCTTTATCAGTTGTTATTTTCTCAGCAGTCAAACAATGTAGAGACAACACAATAGCATACAGTAACCAGATTCTCTCTGAGCTTTTTATCTTTACGTGCCTTTATTACTCTGTTTATTTTACTTTTATTTTTTGACATAGGGTTTCATTGTGTAACTCTTATCTGTCCTGGAATTTA